CCGTGTGAAAAAAGTACCAGGCGCTGGACATCATTTACATCGAGAGAGGAAGTTAGTCTTCCTTAATGACAATGCCATCATCAATCTAAAACAATACATTTATCTATTAATTCATCACATGTCAAGAGCATAAAATAACGATGTTAAAATGAATAAGTTTTTCATTTGTAAAAAAAATATTTTACAAGGAAATCCCCCCCCCCCCCCCTCAGAGAATTGATGTTTTTAAAAACAATTTCTAGAGTCTAGTGACTTTTTTAGTATTAAAGTCTATAATAATATCTAAGTTCAGTATGAACAATATTTTACTTTCGTCGTGATAACAATGTATCAGTTCCAAGGTAGAAAAATCTTGAGAAACAGCTAATAAGAAACAACTGTCTATAAAATAATAGTTTTTGGAAAACATATTGTGGAATCATTTTAGTGCTTCTTCGCAGCTTACTCTGGAAAAATTCGTTGATTTCTTTATGTGGAAAAACTTTTCTATGATCATAAGATCTAGTGGGCTGAGTGTACATTCGTGAGTGTAACACATGAAGAGATCTTTATAAAATAATAACATATTAGATAAAATTTTGTTTTGTACTAATTAAAAAGCTTCTTCATCTGTAACTTTCTTCTAGAGATTCAGGAATGTCTTTATCCCAAAACAGATTTTCATAATTGAAGAAAATCTAACTTCATGTATACACGTCAGCGTTTGTTCTGTAAGTACTTATTAATCTGAGAACGCATTTCTTTTTTCAATATGATGTAAAGGCATTTTTCGAAACAGATACAAAAGAAAACGCAGAATATGCATTCAACTGCTGTTGTTCTACAAACTGTTTCTTCACAAGACAACGGTATTCATTGAAGTTAGCTTGCGATCAATGACTATGTTAGTGGTAGATTTCACTAGGTACGAATTCCATTCGTACTAATCAAACCTCGACATAAACAAACTGCCTTAAGTAAATTCGGCAAAAAAACATTTAATTTTCTTTTTTCAGTTATTCATAAGGCTAAATGTTACCAGTGAGAATAGAATTATTTAGACAAAGCATTCTATTGGACATTGTACCAAGATGTGACGAAGTGTTATTTGTATTGTTCTAAGAACACTTACTAACGATGACTTTGTTCTTTTCCGCAGGGTAATATGTTTCTTTCTCATTCTACGCATGAGGAATAAATAAAAGAAACTTGTTTACTAACGATGCATCCAGCAAAATTGACTGGTACCAAAAATTTGTTGCCGACACTGTCAAAAAATAGCTTTCTTGACAGGACATATTAGAAGATCTGCCTTGTAACAGATGAACGATAAGATAAAATAGAAGACCCGGAGTCTACTAATGTGTCAGAGGCTTCACTCAACTTGGAATCAATTCGATGTGTTTGTGTTGTGAAATCATTGACAAGCATTCGCTTTCGAATTGTGGATTTTGTGAAACATGATCGTAATTGAATATTGAAATATAGAGTGAGACAAGTGATATCCTGCGTTAGATTTGTCTCAGTGGCACGTGACAGGCACTTCAATGTTTGTCTATCAAAACTTTACGACCAAGGATCGGTAAGGCGAAATCTTTCGCATACGACTGGAGTGAATCCATCGTATGTTGAAAACTTAATCATTGGCATCGAACATTTTCTGCGAGTGTAAAATATTTAATCGAAGAGTAATCGGTTAACACACTAAACTATTGATATACGACAAATAGAAGTATAGTAGTGGAATCTTCGAAATGCATACAAATAATCTTTCTTACCGTTCTTTAATGTAATGTGTGAATATGAGTTTGTTCTGGTCATTAATGCTTGAATTTCTAGGTTGAATAACAATAGATACCTACAAATTATAAAACTTTCGCAAGTATGACGCGTATTAAACTCTTTTTATTACAAATGAAAACGATTTAGCTGGTAGTAACTGGCTAATACTAACCAGTTTGACGTTATTGTTTGTTGTCGGACAAGCATGAATTACATTTAAACCCTTCTACGTCAGTCATATGAAATACAGTACTCACACCTATATAGTCGATCGGTTTTTACTTTCTGCTTGCTTGTTGTCGTTTGTATCATCAAAATTGATAAAATGACATTTAATGTACCACTATGATTTTTTTTTTTTCGTTTCGTGATTGAACAACGTGAACTTCTTGGACAAAAGCAAATACTCATTCGGTGTCTTCTATGACAATACTTATCTTACTAACTAGGTTACTAACAATCATTTCATGAAAACGTGATCGAAAATCCATGTAATCACTCATAAAGAATTCAATGAGAGAATATTTGGAAGATAAACTATAAAGTATTGGCTACTTACTGTTCGGTTTTCGAGAGATGCGTGACTGGAAGAGACATAAGAAGTATATTGATGAATTGCATTGAAGTGTTCAGTTGGATTTAGATGAACATTTTTCCTTAAAGGTTTAAGATAATTCGATTCTAATATTTATAATCATTTATTCAGAAAGCTCACAACAATTTAAAATGACTGCCATGATAAACGTCCTATCCTCATCTGTACCATCAGAAATGCATTCTAAAATTTGATTAGAATTGCAAACGAACCGAAAACATTTCGAAGAATAAGAATTCTGTTTCCATTGTTGTTGCTATATTAAACTGACTAGTTTGTATTGCTCAACCAATGAGTTCTGATACTAAATTTTACATTGATCTCATGTGACAAGAAATAAAAACAGGTAAAATAATTCAAATACGCTATCTGCAAACATCTTTCCACCGTTATCCTTCAAGCTACTTTGTAAATTCTTTTAGACTCCTATCAAATCAATGATTCTTGGAATATCACAGAATCTATCGCAATTTCATAACGCTTCACCTGTTCAGTCTTTTCGTCTTGATAGTTTCGATTAAATCAAAAGAGAACATGCATCGTCTAATAGGAAAAAAGAAGCATTATTCAGGATTTTTTCTAGATTTTAATGTTTTTTTTTAAATGACTTTTTGGTTCTACTTTTTAAAATTCCATTTTATTGGAGAACTAATCTATATTTTTTTGGAGCAAACTAAAAATCGATAAGATGAATGAATCTATCATCCATACTATACTCAGATATTCGAACAGAAACATTAATTTATTAAAAAAAAAATTTCAATATATCAAACTCTTTTAATTATGTAAAGACGCTTGAGAGTTCATTAATTTTTATGTTTAATTCTATCGACATGATGTTCTACAATCAATTGAATGTTTTTTTTTTAAGGATTGACATCAGCGATATTAACCGCTACTGAATTGTCTAATATTATTAATGATAATTCTTAAAGTATCATCTTGCGATAATCAAGAAGTCTATGACAGGTTATTAACTATATAAACATTCATTCTCAACAGCATCTTCATGATGAATATAGTTATCAAAGATTTCTTTCTGAAAGATCATGGTAACTTTTCTGTTACACATCTTATCGTGTTCTCATGAACATGATTAGAAACACGTACCTATGCATTATTCGATGCACCGTTCGTACGTATCAACCAATCTAACTTCCTAACACAATGTCATTTTATCGATGTTATAGTCAGCATACAGTAGATCAATCAAATAAATACCTACAAATAATCGACTAACTGTCAAAAGAGATCTTTTTCTTTAATGATCATAGATCAAGTGAGACTAATAGTCAATTATTGTTACATAAATATCAGCGTAAGATATACAAAATTTCATGAGTTATAAATCATCGATAAATTAACTTTTGAGACGCAAATATGTATAGCATTTTCAAGTGTTTATATATTGTTGAGTACATGTGAATGTTCAAAAACACTGGAAATCGAATCAGAATCCTTACAAAATCATTTGAATAATCACCACTATCTAACTATTGTTCGGTCAAATATTCAAGTCAATCAAGATGTCGAGCATTTACGTTTTATTACAGCTGCAACAAGCACACGAAATATACATTGCCTGTAGCTAACGCCTCATAGCTGATCATGAGATAGCAAAAATAAGCAATCAATTCGTTTTCTATTGCTCGTGACAGATATTAGAGAGCTTTTATGAATGATTATATTTCTTTTCTTTTTGGAAATTTCTGAAGTTAAATATTTAAAGTAATGGTAATATTCTACTCAATTTTGTATATGTTTTTTGTTGCCTATCATCAAACTCAATAGATATTAATTAATTAGCTAAAAAAATGTCCAGAGAGAAAATATTCAAATTGTGAAAAATCGAGTTTAATATTCTAAACTGAAATAAAACTTAAATAAGTTACTATTGAACAATGAAAAATAAATATATTTAGTATTTCATTATTTTGTTGGATAATGAAATTTAGATTAGCATATATCATATTGCAAGTATTGTTTTAATAAGATACAGTAGAAAGAAAATTATATGCCATAATAAGTTGTGTAATCATATATTCATCATTTAATAGAAAATAGTTTTCATTTAGAGATATCTTTGAACATAACTCATGTTCATCTAATTATCTTTAAAACAGAGTTGATTTTTTGAAGGACACATTCAACTATGTGAATAATTGTTATCAATCTTAAATAAATTTTTTTCTGTAATACCAACGTTATCATTTCGCATGTTTATGTCATTGTTTTTCTCCTCCCTCGGCATACCATGTTCGCGCTATCGCACTATTTTACCGCCAATTCTTATGTTGGCACGTACCGTTGATGTGAGGCCAGTTGTAATAGATATATATTTGCATATATGTATAGTATAATACGTCCATCTATTTTTCTTGTTCTTCCTTCGGGTCATTTGAGAAATAAGAAGAAAAAGAACGAACGAGAGTGTGTGTACGAACAGTTGACTCGTCTGTTTCTCCGACCGTCCTGTTCACTCACTCTTTTCTTTCTCCATAGGGACAAGCACGCAAAAAAAAAAAATACAAGCGACGAGGAAGAGGATTGCTGACCTGCGCTATACATGTGCATCTATTTTATTTGAACGTGTTGCCATTTTAGACAAGCTCATTTTCCTTTCAGATAATAGATAAAAAGAGTTATGCTGTACGATTTAGTAAGTAGATTAATTTAATCTGAATTATGAATAAAAAAAAATTTTCTTTAATATAGATCGGTGTATATGGAAAAGTTGGTCAAAGTGGCCGAAATGTAACTGTTCCTATAATAAATACTTATTATGGTAGTTAATTCTTGTTCTATAGGATGATGATGTCTGCGATCGATATAGTCATCGTTGGACAGTAATTTTACTCGGCGTTTTTATTATTGCTATAAGTGCTAAACAATTTGTTGGTATGCTTTTATATTCTTTGATTATCGTAATATTATTTACAAATTATTTTTTCTTAGGTACATCTATTGAATGCATTCCACCGTCTGATTTTGCAGGAAATCATAAAACATATGTAGAAAATTTTTGTTGGATTCATTATACATATTCTGGTAAATAATAATAATCTTTTTTTGTATTACGTATTTTGTTTAACTAGCGTTTTTTTTTCTCTTTATTAAGTTGATGATAACACAGCATTAACACGTGATTTTGTTCGAGGTGCTAATGGTTCACATAAAACTCCTTATTATATTTGGATACCATATATATTTATTGCTGCTGCATTATGTACATATTTACCAGCTTGGTTATGGCATGTTATTGGTCATCGTGCGGCATTTGATGTTCCAGCTATGATAAATCAATTAGGAAAAATGAAATTATCTAATCCTGAAGATCGTCGATCAAATTTGACCATAATGGCAAAACATTATGAAAAAGTCGAACAATATTCAAGATCAAATATACGTATAACAGATAATCTATTTAAACAAATCATGTCAGCATGTATGTTTTTTGCTGGTGGTGGAGTACTAACAGGTAATGATGAACCATAGATAGGATCGATTCGATTTAAATTTTGAAAAATCTTAATCAGTCTTATCTTTATTATGAATTTAGTTAATTGTTTTTTTGTTGGATTATAGGAATTTATTTCTTAATTAAAATTTTTTATTTAATTAATGCTGTTGGACAATTTTTCTTAATGAATTATTTCCTTAATATTGATTATTGGTCATATGGACAAAAAGTTCTTCGTGGTGCTTTTTCTGGACGTGATGGGACGGAAAATAAAATCTTTTTTCCACGTATTGTCTATTGTGATTTTACTATTCGATATGTAGGAGATAATAATTTGAATTATACGGTAGACAAAATTTGATTTAGTTCTATTAATTCATTGGATGTTTTTGTTTGGTTTATTTGTTAGGTTCAATGTACACTACCTGTTAATCTTTATAATGAACGTATATTTGCATTTTATTGGTTTTGGTTAATATTTTTGACTTGTGCAACATTATATGGTATTATTGTTTGGCTTGGACAAATGAGTTATCGTGGTCGTCGTAGTTTTTTAAAGAAACATTTACGTATTAATCGAGAATTAGCTATGACACAACATGAAAGACGTTTATTTGATGCATTTGCTGATCGTTATCTTGGTGGTGATGGCATACTTTTTCTTCGTCTTGTTGCTAAAAATACAAATCCAGTAGTAGCTGGTCAGTAAAAAATAATCTTTCGAAATAAAGATTTTTCTTTTTGTTTTATTTTAGGTGAACTTTTAGGAATTATGTGGGATCGATTTGTAACACGTGAAAATGCTGTTGTTATTGTTGCAGCAATGGGAAATAATAATGATAGTGGTAAAACTCTTGATACTGATACATATTTAAATGGTAGTGGTTCGCGAAAATTTATTGATGATCGTACACTACCCTTTAATCAACCATTAAAACAAGAATAAAATATAAAAACAAGAAAAAGAACCTTTGCTTTTCTTTTCTATATATTCTAGATATTAGTTGTCATTAGAGTCTCTTGTTTTTCTTTCTCCTGTCATTATTATTATCATTATTCGAAGGTCAATTGTTTTTTTTCATCTAAAACTTCTTGTTTAGAGATGAATGTGAACTTTATTCAGATATTAGCGTCATCTATATTGTGAAACTTTTTTTCTTTTTTTTTTCGCCTTGTGTTTTTTCTAAGATTAGATTATTAAAAAAAGTGAATGTTATTGTGGTCTTTTTTTTGTCGTACGATTATATAATTGAAAAAGATCATTAATCATATGGAGAGGTTTTCTGAATGAAATAGAATGATGGTTGATATTTGTATATACGCAATTCATTTCTTTGTAATTGTTTTCAGATTACAGTCAAAGAAATAATGACTCAACCGATCTATGATCAAAGACAAGGTTTGATTAAAAACTTAATTTTAATCATGATTTGAAAACTCTTTGTTTTATGCTTTAGGTGGATTTCGTGTTTTTATTGGTAATTTAGGTGCACGTACAAATATTTCTGAACTTCAACATGAATGTGAACGTTATGGTCCATTAGTTGATTGTTGGGTAGCTCGGTAAGTAAAGAGAAAAAAAAGAAATTAATATAAACTTCAATTCATATTGATCGATTTTGAAAAAAGTTTTTGACTTGAAAAGAAAAATTAGGTATGTAAATGAAATATAAAAAAAAAACATTTAAAATAAAAAAATTCTCCCGAGTCAATGAAATAATGAAATTTCATCATCCATCTTTCAGTTGCTGCTAATGGTCTATGTCTGGTATCACCAAAAAAGCAGCATGATTATACACATTTGTCAAATCGTCTATCATCTATACATAAGAATATCGTATTTTTGTGTTCTTCTGCGCGTCGCAACAACCGCTCGCGCCAAATTTATGCACCCGTCGTCTTCCTACGACATATCATCTCTTCTCTTCTCATCTCATGCGCTCCTTCTCTCCTAAATCTTCCTTTCCTGCACTTACAGACATCAAAACAACATCCTTCATCAGCAAATGTTTATATTCACTTTTGATATATAATAAAAAGAAAAAAGTTAATAAATAGAAATCTTAAGGTAAGTTATTCATGTGAGATTACAATAAAAAAAAAAAAAAACTGAGAAAGATTAACAATGAATAATAGTTATATGAGTTTTTTGTTTTCTTATTGTGTGTTCATTTGATTGGTTTTTTAATTTGCTGGGAAATTAGATTCATTTGAATATTATTTTAGCAATCCACCGGGATTTGCATTTGTACTTTACAAATACGGCGAAGATGCAGATACAGCTGTACGGAGTAAGTTTTTATGTTTTTATTGAAAATAAAATTCTTTTTTGTTTTGTTTGTTGATTTGTTTAGATATGGATGGCCGGTATGTGTAAATAACATGGAAATATTTCTCTTTTTTAAATGTATTTTGTTTATATTCAGTGTGGTATGTGGTCAACGTGTTCGAGTTGAACATGCAAAAGCTCGTTCAGCAAATTATAGGGGTGGACCATCATATGGCGGTTATCGAGGTGCAGAGTAAGTAGAATTTTATTTTTAAAATAAACTCTTGAATAATTATCGTTTACTTTAGTGATGATCATTATGAAGGTTACGGAAATGGTCGAGATGATGATCGAAGGTAAGATTTTCAAAATATCTTTGTGTATTCTATTTGTTAGTTATTATATCATTTAGACGTCCACATCGTCGTTCACGCGATCGGTAAATTCCAATTCTATTCGGATACAATTATATAGTCTTATTTTTAGTCGTTCACGCTCTCGTAGTAGTAGCCGAGAACGTTCAACAAAAAAGAAGTATGTAACAGATTTTTCAAAGCTTTTTTTTTCTTGTATTATTGAAATATTCTTTTTAGATCATCTCGTCGACGACGTAGTAGAAGTGATTCTAGCCGTGAAAGTAGTCGTGAACGTTCATCCAAACGAAAGAATCAGTATTTTCTTTTAAATCAAAACAATAACTTTTAGAAATTTAATTTCGTAATTTTTTTGTTTTTAGTCGTTCACGTGATCGAAGTGATTCAGACGATTCAAGTCGTGAACGAGATAAAAAACGATCCAGTGGTGGTTCAAGTAGTAAACGTCGTCGATCAAAATCAAAATCAAGTGAAAAAAAGAGTAGTCGTTCAAAACGTCATTCATCACGTTCTGAATCAAAAGATAATGATAATGGTGATGATCGAGCATCAAATCATTCAAAAGAAGGTTCATCGTCACCATCAAGACGTGAACGTCAGAATAGCAGCGGTCATGAAAATGATGCTGAAAATGATAATAAAAGTGGTGATGAAAGTGATCGACGAGTAAGAAAATAAAACAGAAAAAAAAACGTGTTTTTATTTTTGTTTTCCTTGAATCTTTATTTTAGAGATCATCACGTCGTAAATCTAATGATGATGATAGTGATGGAAGTGATAATGAAAGTAATAGTAGTGAAAAGAAAAAATCTACTCGTCGTAGTTCAATTGATGAAGACGTAGATGATAAACGTGGAAATGAATCTGATCATTCAAATAATGATAGCGGTGATCAAAATTAAAAGATTATATCAGAACTTGTTTTCAAAAATAAAAAATACAATAAAAGCTTTTCGTGTTTGCTGTTCTAATTCGCACACTAGTGACATAGTTTTTCATACTACTGACATTAAAAAAAACAAGGTGTGTACAATTTTTCTCTGTATGTGTAATGCGTGTTATTTTGTTCAAGCTACCTTTCTGTTTTTTTCGTCTGTGTTCATTATCAATTTGACTTTTTTTTTTCTATGTATGCTTCGCTTAAAAAAACTTAAGCACATGATGATTGTTTAAAATCAAAAAAAAAACAAGACTTTGTTTGTTTGTTTTCATCTGTAGATGACAACAACATTGGAAACATTTCAATCTTTATTTAATGGAAGTACAAAAAATAAAAGTTATCGAACAGATAGTGGAAAAGTTCATACAATAGATTGGAATGTTGATGGAAGTCGTTTAGCAAGTGGATCTTTAGATAAAAGTGTTGTCATATTTGCCTATGATGGAAAAGGTTCAATGGTAGGTAAGAGATTCAGAACACATACATGCATCGTAAAGAATGTTGAGGAAATGTATTATTTATTGTGCGAGTACAAATTTTAAAACAAAGTTCATCAATCTTTGTTTCTGATTTTTTTTGTTGTGCACATTATGATAAACAGATTGTAAGAAGAATTACTAGCAAAAAGAATAATTTGAATATCTGAACGGAATGAGTAATTTTTCACAAGTAAAATTTAAAGTTATAAACTTTAATTGAAACTTAATATCTTTTACATGATACAAATGGACAAGCGTTAGATTTTGAAAACTTTTCAAGATTGTTACTAAAACTGTTTGATTATATTATTATCTTGTCTCTATTATCCATTTCAGAGTTAAATGGATGCGGACAGTTTTCGATTAACTTTTGATTGGCAGATGTTATCGAGCTCTTCGGCGTCTATCTGTGTATCACTTGTTAGGATCAAAGACATTTTTTTCATGAATCTTTGTACACTGATATGTTTCTCATTCTGTATTTTCATGATAAATTAATGTTAAGTTATAATGAATTGTAGCCTGAGTTATCTTGTATATGTGGTAAAATTATCATATTGTAAAATGATCTCGTCAAGAAAAAAGGTCGACAAGGTACTAAAGAGATGTGGAAGTTTTATTATGTATACAGGACAACGCGATATAATTTAAGAGTCATTTTTCATGAAAATAGAGAACGAAAAACATATTAGTGTACAAACAATCATGAAAAATATCCTTGACCTTAAGAAATGTTATACGTATTGACGCTTTAGTGTTCATTCTTTGCAATGTTAAAACCTCAAGCTTGGATTATCCTAATTTTCTTTTCAACATATACATGTATATATATTTATATTTAACAGGTAAAAGATCGAACTTATCGTGAACATGGAGAAGAAATAAATCAACTTGCATGGCATCCAACTGTTTCACATTATGTCGCAACAGCAAGTGGAGATCGACTAGTTAAAATATTTGATACAAGAACAGATCGTTCTAACACAACAATAGAAACAAAAGGTGAGAAATGAAGAGTTTCATTTTGAACTCTATATTATGTCATACATTGTTTTTTTTTCTTCAGGAGAAAATATTAATTTAGCTTGGTCGCCTGATGGTACAACATTAGCTGTTGGAAATAAAGATGATCTTATAACATTTATCGATGTTAAAACTTCAAAGTTAGTTCTTATTGTAATTATTTTGAAATCAATATGAAAAACTTTGTTCTCTTATGTAGAATTATACGTGAAGAACAATTTCGTTATGAAGTTAATGAAATATCTTGGGATCGATCGGGTAGCCTATTTGCTGTTACGACAGGACATGGTTCAGTTGTTTTTTTCGAGTATGTTATAACACAATTATCTACAATTTTAATTAATATATTTTATTTTCTATTTAGTGCACCTGGTATTCAAAAAGAAAAAGATAAACCTTTAGAAGAATTACATTGTTTAACAGCTCATACAGGCAATTGTATTTGTCTAGAATTTGATACAACAGGAAAATATTTTGCAGTTGGTGCTGCTGATGCATCAGCATCAATATGGGATGTTGCTCAACTTGTTTGTCTTAATGTGCTCACAAGGTTAATTTTCACTTATTCGTACAACAAATTTATCATTTTTTTTTCATTATAGAATTGAATGGGCTGTACGTGGTCTTAGTTTTGGTTGTCAATCGCAATTACTTGCATTAGCTTCAGAAGATCCTTATATAGAAATTGCTAAAGTCGATACTGGTATATATATATATTCTTTTTCTTTAATGAAAATTATGAATATCTTTTTTTTTTAGGTGAACGTGTTTATGCATTAAAATGTGATGCACAAACATTAGCAGTCGCTTGGCATCCAAAAGCATCCGTTCTTGCTTATGTTCAAGATGATGACTCAGGAAGTGTACGTCTATTTGGTGTACTCGATTGATGTATTATGTTGTTATTTTGTTATATATTGTATTAAGAAAGAAAATAAAAACGAAATGTGTTTTTTTAAGTATGTGTGAATATTATCTAATCATCTTCAAGATGTTTAAGCCATCGAAACATCAAATGAAATGCTTTTTCACGAACTGATGATTTCGATAAAAATATATCATGTATTGCATTTTCAATTTCATAGATTGTTACTTGTTGACCAAGAGTAGATGCAACATGTCGCATTGTTGTTACATTAAGTAAAAGATCGGCTAAATAAAAAACAAAAAATTCATAAATTATTCTTAGGAGAAAAAGAATTAAGGAGATTTTTGTACCTTGTTCATATTCATCACGCCAAGTTTGATCTGGTTTTATTGAACGATCTGAACACAAGAGTAGAATAGGACATTTGATACAAGAACCTTTTCTTGTAAGATCTTGTTGAGCTGAGCGAATAGTAGAAAAAGTCGAACCATGTATTCGAATTTTGTCAATTGGTTTTTTGGTTAAATCAAAATTCCATTCGCCTTTGTTAGATACATGTATTGATCGACCATACCAACTATAATAATAAATAAGATTTTTATTCTTATCTGATAATTTTCTTTTGTTTTTTTTCTATATTAAGTATTACTTATCATCTATGTCTTTCGATAAGCGAAAATTTATCACCATGCTTTGTAATACTGATTCTGGTAAAGTTGTATTTAATGGAGCTAAGTAAGGACTATTGAGAATAAGCCCATCAATATCCTGATATTTTGTACCCAATGATGCATACAAACTGACAATAAGACCACCTATTTATTTGAAAAAGTATTTCTATAGTGCTTCTTTGATAGTTCCTAATAGTTACCTGTTGAATGACCATAAAGTATCAATTTTTTACTTTTAGTGTTTGCTTCTTTGATTATATGTTCGATTGAAAGTGTAATTTCTTCATCATATTCGTGAAGGTCATTACAATAATGTTTATATTGATCGTGTTCTGGTGATATAATTGATCGACCACATTTACGCAAATCTAATGCAAAGAAATCGTAACCATGTGCCAAAAATTGTATACACACATGATCTCTGGAAAAATATCAGAATAGAATTTCAATAGAACGGAGTATCTATTACTGACTGAAAAAAGTAATCAGAATATCCATGTATATAAAGAACAGCTTTATACAATTGACTATCGTTGTTTGTTGTTCTAGCATGTAATAAAGTAGCTTTATTTGGACCAATATCATCTGCTTTTAATGTGAAAGTTGTTGTTTCATATTCGACAGTAGATTCTGTAGTCGTCATTTGTGACATTTAATGTGATTGACGCAGAACAGAATATATTATAGTAAGCGTGATGTTGTTATAAAAAAACTCTTGTCAAAATTTGCCCTACAGGTAAAAACATAAAACAAAATGTGAATACTTCTAATGGTTAACCCTTTACCCCCCATAGCGGTTCCAGAAGAGCCACCGATGAAATAACTTTATGAATAGAGTATTAGCCTGTCAAATATGCCAATGGTGTGGCGTAATCGACCTGATGC